TCCTTTCGGCCGCACTTCAGACCGCGTTGGGGAACCGCTCGGTCGGCGCATCGGATCACCCGAGGGCGAGGTGCGAGCAGCCCTCGTCGTTGCCCAGGTCTTGGGATTCGCGACTTTGCGCTTCGCGCTCGGATCACCGCCGATCGAGGAAGCCGACGTTGCGGTCACCACCGATCGCCTGGCTCGCCTGATCCAGCTGTGCATCGATGGCTGAACGCTCGGATGCCGTTCACTACCGCCGACAAACAGCCACGCCGATGCGAGTGGACCCGTCCAAGGGCCGCCTACAGCATCGAACTCGTCTCCGTTCCTCAACGACATTGGGGTAAGCCGTGGATCGCCTCAAGGGACTCAAGACATTCACCCGCATGGTTCAGACGGGCAGAGTTCCCCGCCTCGAAGACCATCTCCGCCGCCTTGGTCGATGCGGAACCAGGCGCGCTTCGCGAGCTGGACTGGCACCCGAATGGCGATGAGTGGCAATACTATGTCGAGGGGCAGGGCCGGATGACTGTTTCCGCCAGTGAGTCAAAGGCCCGCACCTTTGACTATCAGGCTGGCGACGTCGGCTATGTGCCCCGCGCTATGGGGCACTTCGTCGAGAACACCGGCAGGACACGGTTGCGCTTTCTGGAAGTGTTCCGCGCACCTGTTTTCCAGGACGTGTCGCTGACCCAGTGGCTGGCGCTTACGCCGCACCGGCTCGTCCAATCACACCTGAATATCAACCATGCGATCATCAATGGCCTGCCGACGGTCAAACATCCTGTGATCGGCTGATCAGTTCCTCAGAAGGAGATACCGGAATGCGCCTTTTCCAAACAGCGTCGACAGCCTTTGCGCTCTTCGTGGCGACAGCGGCGAGTGCCTCGACCATATTGCTGAAGGCAGGTGACTACGGCGACACGAGTTTTGCCTGCAATCAAGAACCGAACGCCGGCATCGCGTCGTTCGACGGACGTAACTTCTCCTACGCCCACGCCAGCCGGTGCACCGACACGGTGAAGGCGAGATCTGCAGGGGTGCTTACCGTTTCCGAGACGTGCCGCGCTCTCGGCGATGGTAGCCCGGCGAAGCCCGACACCATGACGTTCAAGATGCGCCTGAAGGGCCCCGAACGCTTCGACCTCATCAAGGGTAACGTCAGCAGGACGTTCCGCCGCTGCGGCGCGCTCGGCTATTTTGACAAGCATTGATGCCACCGGCGCCATGACCGGCCGGCGCGCGTGGGAGGATAGACGACGGCGCTGCGACGGCGGAGCCGATCGTCTCTACCACGCCCGCGTCGGCACATGCTGACGGCGTGCGTCGTCCCGTATGGATAATGGGCGTGGGGGCCGCGATCGTCGCTACCTTGGCGAGTGAGGGCGCAGGGGTTTTCACGGCGGCGCGGTCACGACCTGATGACCTTGACGACGGCATCGGGTTCATCGCCGCTGACATATCGGGTCCCGAGGGGGTCGTCGCGGTCGCGGAGGCGGCGTGGCTCGGCGCCATCGATGGCATAGTCCGCGTCGTCAGCGTCGCGCCGGGCTTCGTACGGACGGGTGCGGCGGAAGCGTTGATACAACGCATCGCCGGCAGGCTTGGTGGCGATCGGTAAGCCGCCTTGTCCAAGCTGGTGGACTCGCTCGGGAGCCTCCCGCTTGGCCGGCCGGCGGAGCCACAGCAGGTCGCGGACCTCGTGGCATTCCTCCTTTCTGATCGGGCATCGGTGCTGACCGGCCATGAATACGCCATCGGCGGCGGCACGATATCCACCATCTAAGCGCACTCGTCTGCCCAGCGTCATGAGACCCTTAGAAGCAGTTTGCCGACTGTTGCCCGGGATTCCAAATCAGCATGCGCCTGGGCGGCTTCGGAGAGCGGATAGACGTTGCCGATCACGATCTTGAGCGCGCCGCTGCGGATCCACTCGAACAGCTCGCTCGATCGCGCCAGCAGATCCTCGCGTGTCGAAAGTGAGTCCGAGAAGATGGGAAACCCGACCTTCACGCTCTTTT